GATTCAAAGGGCAGTTCAAGAAAACATGAATTCCGGTGGCAAGGTTGAATTAGACATGCATGCACCACCTACCATCAGGAAAATGTGGATTCCAGCAGGAGGCATTCTTCTCAATAAGGTGATAATAATAACACCACTAATAATAATAATAATAATGTATTATATATCTATGTACATCTATATGTATGTATGTATATTAATGTGTATATATACATATATAGATGTACCAGTGTTTTCAAATAGACACTGCTTTCAACAACCCCAAAACAAGTGCCCAAAACAGGCCACGCCCCTTGAGCTTTCGAGGCCCGGGCCGGGGTTTGGGATGTGCCACCTTCTCCTCGGCTTCGAAGCAGCCCAAGCGAAGCCTCGCTCCGGCTGGGTTTGTTTTTTGTTATCCCCCTCACAACCCCCAATCCGGACACAGGCCCAGAGGGTCCAAGTACCTTCTAAGGAGGTACTCAGACCCCTTTCTAACCCCTAAAAGCCATCCTCATGAAGTACCAAGGGACCCTCTGGGAGGGTGAAAAGGTCAAAAGCTGGAGCAGGGCTGTGGGAAGTGGAATCCACGAATCTTTCTGTACAAGGGCCGAAGGTATCACACCCCGAAGACTACAACCCCCATTTAAAATCTAAAGCGGGGATGCCCGAAGGTATCACAAAGTGGGGATTAACCCCAAGTGGTCCCCCAACCATGAAAGGGAAAAACCAGAATCCAAAAGGAAAATCATAGCCATCTACTTCCCCCCAGTGGATGGACCAAATCCCAGGTGGCCTGTCACAGTTGTTGGGTTTTGGGACTCTGCTGCCGGGGAGCTCAGTTTCCTCTGCGCCTGGGCGTTTCGGCCGCCCCGGCGGAACGAAGAAAAAATCGCTGAGGTCCCAAGGGGACAACTGAATCGCAATCTTAGTACTGAAGAAGTCGCAAGAAACAAGTACAAATAAGTACAGAATCCAAAGGTCACGATGGGCCGTCGGGCGCCATATTTCACACCAACCGGACTAGGCGGCTTGGGCCATCCAGCTGTTAGATTGGACTCCTCAAAGAATGGACGGGTTCATATTTCGATTCATTCCCATGTGTAACATGGTTGGTGTCGCTGGCAACAATTCGCCAATCAGTCCGCGGGTGCGTGGGTCTGGGTTTGTGTGTGTGTCTGTTTGCGTGTGTGCTTTTGTGTATCACTTTTGGGTTGGTCTTTCAGGGAAAACTAGGGAAACCACCATTTTGGGCCATGTGTATTTGATTTCCAATGTTTTGCCAGATTTCCACAAGAACTTTCGGGTGGGGCTTAGGTGACGTCCCATGGCCATCCAATGTCGACCTCAATGAGCAGGCAACCACTTGCAAATTTGGCCTCCCACTGCCCATGAGGTGATCAGGGGAAATTGTCCGTGTCAAAACCTACCAAAAGGAAAATGGCTGGTTATCGTCTATAGTAGTAACTGGGATCTACTGGAGAAGCTGAGACACCTGGTTGCCCATGGTAACCGAAGTCCATGCGCAAAAACAATGGTTTCCAACAGATCTAAGGGGTGATTTGGATCAACCAAAGACCAGCCATGGTAGAACCAAGCTGCAGCGCCAGGGAATTGAAACAGTTTGAAGATTGTTTGTCGTGTAAGCGACGCAAGGTTGACCCACTGACGTTAATTCTATCAAGGCTATCAAGCTTGATGCGTATCACATGGTTCGTCGATCGTTAGACAGCTCAAACCACGTGCAAGTGCAGTTAAATGCAATGTGGAGTTTCAATTGCAAAACGCTCCCTCGTCTCAACTCGCACAACGCATGTTCAAACACGGCGCTATAAGGAAAACCTGAAGTGAGGCGCCTTCATCATGGGTGAGCTAGCTAGTTGTTTCCCCGACTCGGTGAGCTCGTTGCGACGTGCCCATGCTTCTCTTATCTGACCATCACAATCCCCAAAAACGTAGTCAGCGTAATCCTGGCCATATGAAAAAAACTTTGGCCCGACGTCAAGACGCCACACTTTCAAAGCAGGTTGCCTCGGAGGGCTCTGAATCTCTATGTTGGCACCTGGGGGATGAAACAAAGGCTCAGGCCACTTGCAAGCTCCCGTAGGTCAGGAACCAATTGAAACACGTTTTATCACAGTCCTCGTCTGAACGAGTCATCCATGTCTCCATGCTGGCCCTCTTTCCACGCCAGAGAAGATGAAATGAAAGAAAAACAGAAAGATTAAATCCAGAAGAATCCTGAAAATCTCAGATGAATCCTGAAGAGTCCCAAGATGAATCCCTCAGATGAATCCAGAAGAATCCTAATAATTTCCTGAATACTTCTGGAAACGAAAACACAAAAACATCTACATTGGCCCTTAAGAGGGACACCAAGTAAACCCGGCGTACCCAGCCCAAGCCGGACCAAAGCCAAGCCCCCGGCTAACATTTCCGCGCCGCCGCTTTGCACCTAGCGACGCGGTCCCTACGTCGATCCGAACTACGCATGGGACATGTCGTGCGTTGGTGAGGCCCCGGTGTTTTGTTTAAGACATGTGGCTGTGGCTCAACACATGGTACCCAAAATGCCACCTTGGTATGTGGACACAAAGTCGAAACCCCGTTTTTGTTTCTTGCAGGTGCGATAAGTAGGGAATGAGAATTGGAATGAACCTGGGGATTCCCGAATAGAGGAAACCACCAGTTGGATGGTTTATAAGGGGCCTTCCCTCATTCCCCAGCAAGTTTTGTTTAAGACTGTAGTGAGAAAACCCCATGCCCCATGTCCCTCCAGTAAAGTTGAGAAAAAAAGGTAGTTCCACGGAGTCAGCCGTCAAGCAAAAAGAGGCAGTCCCAGTGAGGCAAGTTGAGGGTCAACCACAGAACAGCTGCCCTGAGCAACAGACAAGCGCCTTTACCTGCAGGACTGGCGGTACAAAAGAGCAAACAAAAACTGAAAGGACAATGGCTGGATACCTACTATTCGGACAAGAACCCAATGAAGGTAGCAACAAAAAAAACTAAGCTGAGCTACAATTCCCTGGGTCTTCGCAGACTTTGAACAAACACCTCCGTCTCTCCAGCCATCAGCTAAGCATCCCAGTCGCTGGCTGCAGGCAACATTCGGTCAACCACATTCAGTTGGTCAACTTGGGAGGGAGCCAACACTAACAATCCATCACCATGCGCTGCCTGTGAGTGCAACAAGTAGGTGTTGCTTGTAGGATGGTAAGAAACATCAAAACTCAGCTGGAATGGTAACCCCAAGACATCCAAGTCGGAAAATCACTGCCCTTCAGATTTTTGAAGCAAGCAAAAGGGGGAGGTCAAATCGAGAGCTATGTTTGAAATGCAGGCTGATAGGTCAAATATCGAGCAACTGATATGGACCCCGGCCCCTGGACAAAATCCATGTCGCACCAATTGGTAAGAAGCTGATCCAAGTACTCATAGGGTTTTATCCGCTGGTGCGAAGCGTGTTTTGTCCACGGCATTTTCAATCTGGGGCGGGCCCCTTGAACACGAAGCCCGAAAAGGGTTCCCTTCTACCTTGGACGTTCAACCAGCACCCAACTGCTTTTCTCCCATGGCCAAAATCCCATCCAAACAGCAGTGCTTCAAGGGCTGCCAGGATTCTGGTCGTTTCTTTGTCCAAAGATTTGCTCCTCAGCTTTTTTAGTGAGTTTCCCTTAAGGAAGCGGCATCCCTTAAAAGGTTGGCTGAGAAAAAAAATCGGCGCGACTCCACCGCACCGGTGTTCCACTCCCGTCGGACCGGGCTGGGGCCCCTGCGAGGCTCAGCTTCGCCCTGATCGAGCTTCGGAGTGCTTCCGGGCAAATCGCTTGTCCGGACTGGAGACCCCCCTCCAAAAAAAGTGAAGAAGGCGCCTGCTCATGCCGGAAGTCGCGAGGCAGGCCTACTACAACCATAGATGTCCCTCAAAAAGGAACTCCTCTAAAGATGAGGGTTTTCTCGGTGCCATGCTCATGTCAATATGCTGGATTGAAGAGTGACTGCAAGTGCATTGTCTGGCAGGACGACCCAAACCAGGCCATCTAGTTGAGGTCGACTTGCCAGATCACCGGTTTGCTTTAGGTTCAATCATTTGAATTTTAGGGTTTTGGATTAGGTGAGGGCACTTGTTCGACGAGTTCTAATCAAACTTGCACCAAAGATTGCCAGTTTCCTTTTGGCTACCTTGGCAATCACAATGTAGAGGTTCCCTGCTTTCAAGGCGAAACCACATCCACAACCTGGGTGGGTGGCACTAGATTGCACGGCTTTCAACTTAGCATTCCCCGAAATAGAGATATTGAGGTTTGACTGTTTGCTAATTCCTGGCAAAAACAAGACTATGCTTGGAATGGAGCGTGTCCACTTGGTTTTGTCGGGAGAATACTCCACAGACTCTGAAGCAAGGTGAACGCCTTTCTTCGAACAGCTGATCAAGTGGCGCCAGCTTCACCGAGAAGCAAACACAGTTTGAGCTTTTGACAGAATTGGCGAATCTGGCAAAGTCCACCTGTCATACTGAGCCCAAACATGGATTTTTAAGTCATCCCACGACACGAGCCCACATGCGAGGTCTTCCATTGACCCATGGATCAAGCCAAGAAACTGACAGTTGCAAACAGTTTTGCTGTTTGAATCAAATCAGTTGAACTCTTCATCTTCCTGAACTACCCTTCTCGGCCGCCTTCTCCTGCCTTTGTTCTGGTGCGTCCTGTCCATGAAATGAGGGACACTTTGGTCAGAAAGGGTCCTTCTATCCGACAACAGCTCTGGGAACACGTAATACTCCACCTGCTTCATCCTACGGCCAAGATGATTGCCATCAGACAGTCCTTGCACCACAAGGCAAGGACCGAACTAATCATACATTTATCTGCAGTCACAACTTTCCAGTTGTTTCCGTCCAAAAAGAGACAACTCAACTTGGTATGCCTGCAGCTCGGACTTATTTCACGCGCAGTCGTCGCTACAGGCAGCGGCAGTTGCGCGGGCATGGTGGGATGCGATGCCCCTCAGGTTCTCGTTCAGAAGTTAAAGGTCTCCTCGGAACAAGCCCCCTGGTGGTGCCATGTTCAGCCTACTGAGACCCAGGCAAAGAAAGCCTGGAAACGATGAACAGAAAAGGACATGAAATCGGATCATGCTTGGCAAGCATGTCAGATTGCAGTCAAGCTTCGGCGACGACCTCCACTGCTTTGCCATCCTCAAAGGGCGATCTGCACGAAAAGATTCGATAAGAAACAAGCATTCCACCAGGCAGACTCAGTGAGAAACAGTAATTCACAGAAGCAAACATGGTTTGATCGATCCTTCCGAGACTAGAGCCTCACCTTAATAAAGGCCCCAACAACCAATAAAACAGCCAGCTTCCAACCGGATCCACCGAAATCCAAAAACACTAACACAAAAGAACAACGACTGTAAAGAACAACGACTCCGACGTATGCCAAGCGTCTTTCAGCTTTGGAATCTGCTGCTTCAGCTGTTTCCAGAGTCGCACTGAGAGGCTTTCCGTGCTGTCGGGCCTTCGGGCTAAGAAGGCGCTGAGCAGGAAAGGCAACGTCAAGGCGAAGCGACTCAACCTGGACAAAAACTGCCGCTGCCATGGTTTCAAGTGCCGCGCATTGCATGAAAAAACAAAACGTGTTTGTTGGAAACAAAGACGGCTAAAATTGAAGACGTAATGGAAAATCCCTTTCTGCTGTTTTGGAGCTTCGAGTGCCAACCAGTGTCAACAAGGGCATTTCCGACGCCTTACTCCTCGCTCGTCCTCTACTGCCCGGGTGCGACGGAGATCGTGTTTTGTCAGAAAATCATTCCGTGTACGCAACTCAAGTAGGCGAGTGCATCTGCAAGCTATCTCACCTTTGCACGTTTCCAAGTAATCAACTCGGGACACTGTCTCGAAAAGGGAACCGTCAAAGCCCCGAAAAAAGTGCAACCCCTGCGCAGGCAGTGCCAAGCAAAAGCTGCCAAGCAACCAAGGCATGTGAAAGCTGAAGCTCACTGATGCCAGAGCCAAGCACAAAAAACAGCAGCATTGGAGAGCATTGATCTCCAGGGGTTGAACATACAAAGGTCCAAATATGGACAGGACAGACACTCTCTTGTGGCAAGAACAACACGTCGTGAAGGTGCTTTTGATTGAAACATGTTGAACACCTGATATCACTAGCCGATTCCTTTCTGGCCTGCGGCTGCAAAAACGGCTGCACCATTCCGCTTGTTCCGGCCATCAGCAAAGTGATCGCGACTGACAGCTCTCTGCCATGTTCACTGCCTACCACTGCCACCAACGAGATGGCGGCAGCTTTCTGTAGGATTTCCATGTACACATTTCGGCAACGAGCGTACTTGAGGAAGATGTCTTTGGCTCCCGCCAAGACCGGCTCCTCTGCTTCGTTTTCTTCCAAAATGCACCGGTCCATCATGGCTTCAGCAAGTTCTCGGCTCTTCAAGGAGCCAACGTCAACTTTGGCAACCAGACTGATCGCATCGGCGCTGTGAGACTCGTCTCTTCGAGAGGAATCGCCTTATTCACTTGCGGTAGGCCTAAAAAGCAGAGAAAAGAGAGCCAAATCAGTTCTCAAAACCGTCATAACAAATCATTTCAGCGCCTGCGATGGGCTTTACGATCACCTTGTCGTCCTTCAATTCCACACTCACACGACCTCGCTTCAGTACGGAGATGTAGGCCGCAGCTGCTGCCACCAAACGCGGTGTGAACGTCGCATGCTTGAGAGTCGCTTTATCCTTGGCGCGGCAATGTTCAAGGCCACACTTAAAGACTATGGTTATAACCCACTTAGGAGACTTATAACATCTTATAACCACGGTAAGTGTGTTCTAACCACGGTTACCAACCACTTACTAAGTACCCTGCCCCTTTAAGCAATGGCATTAGGTCTTGTCGAATTCATCTTAACATCAGCGCGTGGCATGCTGCTCCACAAGCGCGAAAAAAGACAAGTCCTCATCTTCAAAGCTAAGCTCATAGCAAGTACACGATTCATCCCCCCCACCACCTGGCACAGAACGATGTGTACAAATTTATTGTCATGTGTCAATAGTTTTGCGCCAGTGCCAGCAAGTCACAGGTGAAGAGCTTTTTGTTTGCACCAGCCACACTTCCAAATCACCATGTTCTGCTGCCAAAGCCACAACCTCCTTGCCTGGTAGGAGCACCAAATGCTGTCTGACATACAGGTATATGAGGCATCCCGGAACCACAACGCAGTAGCAAAAGGCAGCAGCCATGCCTGTCGCATACACATAGGGTCCAAGAGGATCGTTGTGGCAACGAAGTTGAGGAAGCCACTTGCGGAAAGCAAACCTCGTGTGGGAGCAACATTTATCTCTCTAATAATAAACGGTCTCCCTTCCCCCGAAATTTTAAAAAAAATCCTCAGAGAGTGTTTATTCTTAGGATCACATGAACAGAATTCCATTGAAACAAATAAGAGGGTCAAGTTCTTGTGGTGTCCAACTGTGCCACCTGGCCGCATGTTTTGATTAGTCAACTCGTCCTGTAACAATATTTGCCCGTCTGCCTTTAGACAAAAAGACGTTAAAATACAAGTATGTGGCGAGGAACTCCTCCGGGAGGAGATTGCCGTCGCCGTCCGTCGTTTGGCAGCTGAACAGCTTTGATGCCGCGGACGCCCCCCCAATGTACAACATCGTCAGAACCTGCATCAGAATGACACAACAATAAAACCCGAATTGGATTGTGACTGGCTGCAACAGCTTCTTTACCGCAGAATGACCTGCTGGGGTGCACCCGTCAGTAGCCGCAAAATGTCAGCTACAACTATTCTTTATTGACGGCGCAATTCTTTGGAAGGTGGGAGGTGTATGCTGTCCAACGTTGCGCACACATTCGGCACAACTAGACCTTCCGCAACTTGCTTTTTGCGGGTCTCTCCAAATCTTTCAGAACGCAGTCTGACACCTGCAGCGCTTTCCTAAATGAGTGCCAAAGCAACAGGGGAGGAGTGTTGCCGACAAATTGATTTCTATCGTAGCGGTTTTGACTTCCTGACGATACCTCTAAATTGACTGTTGTGAGGATGTCTCCCCGGTGAATCTGCTGCCTGTGATTCATTCCAGCCCAATTGACGAGAACACGTGCTGCAAAGCCCTTAGGCCCCAATGTTTGGGAACTGTTAAGCAGAAGTTGCAGTAGTTCATGGTTTCTGTGGCTTCTGTTCAGACGTCAGTCTGGCGTCAGAGGTGTGCGTCAGCGGCCCCAGAGGTGTGGAAACGTGAGTGAGACGAATTGTTGGGGTGCAAAAGGCCAATTTAAAAAAATAACGAAACAAAACGGGAGGCGCGAATGCAGGGACCACTGCATTGTATTTCGCACAAGTATTGCCCTTATAAGTCCTGCCCGGCTTCCACTGTTTTCTACACGTGAATGTGCTTGAAAAATGAAGCAGAAGCTACGCAAACCGCTCAATGGATAACCGCACCCCGAACGCAATGAAATGAATGCAATGAAAGCAACGCTTGGGATAGGAGGTCAGGACAATACTACCCAAGCCAGCGAACTCAATGCTGTGTCCAAGACCAGCTCTGCTAAAACAACATGTCTCCCCGAAGCAGGTTTGGGCCGACCTGCGTTTTGGCGGGTTCTGCGGGCCTTTGGAAACTCAAGGCTTGGGGTCGGGTCATGAGAGGTCTGGTCCGCAGGTTTCACGATCGCTAAGGGGAGGGTCCGATCTCGTTCTCCGTGCGACCTGAATCTCCAACAACAAACAGAACGCCTCATTGCCTGCATGCTCGAACCCTACATCAACTCCGTTGCTCATGTCGGAAAGGCTGGCCTTCAACGCGGCACGCATGCCAGATCCGTTGTAGGCTTCCAAGGCAAGGCAGCACACCAAAAGCAGCAGTGGGGCCACCGGAGCGATCAGCGCGGAGGCGAGGCGAACAGTTGCAGCGTCAAATTGGCATTGTAAGTTCAGGCTATTCCTCAGGCTTGCAAGTGAAAATTGCGAAACCTGGCCAGTGTCGAAAGTTCAAGAAAACACAATTTCCCCTAACTGTATCTGTTTGCTTGCAAACAAATATGCTTTTGCAAACAATTGAAAGCTGCAGATTGCAGAGGCTAAACTTCTCTACAACTACTTTCAACCCTCTTCATGCCTCTACGTACTGCAGTTCCCACAAGGATGATGAGCTGTGCGCTTGTCCTTCTTTGGCAAGCACGGCAAGAACAGCCCACATTTGGCACATTTGCAGAAGGATGGGCGCCTGCCCCTCCATCTGCTCCTTGAGCACCGACAGCACAGATGCTTCGGCTGGTTCTGCTTCTTCCGGCGTTCTCAACCGTAGCCACACTAAGGCCAATACCGAAGCTACTGTCAAAGCAACCACCGCTGCTACGGCGATATGCAAGAGGTCTGGCAGTGTATCTGTGCTTGGACACGCTTCGCAAATTTCGCCGGAGGCGTAATGATATGCAGCGCAATCCGAGCACAGAATGCCACTGTAGCCATCTGCGCAGCCGAAAGTGCTTGAACCATTGCCGCTGGATTTGTTGCACCTGGTGATCTGCGAAGAAAGACAGCGAATTGCCGCGGTGTCTTCCTCTTGAAGGCGGGCATGGCCCTCTTCCGGCAGGGCTGACGATAGCAGCAAGCCTGGATGTGGGCAATCTAGATTAACGTTGTGGCACGGCAGGCATTCACCCTCCCCATCGTTGGACCTATTGAAGGCTTCCCCAAGAACACATCCACAGCGTTTTGTGCCGTTGTCATTGTAGTGTTTGCCAACTGCGCAAATGCATGATATGGATCCTTCGGTTGCATGGCTTCCCTCCTCGCACTTCTGGCAAGATCCATTGTACTCTCCATTGAAGTAGTTCGTAGGGCACTTCGTGCAATTCGCTCCCGAACCATTGAAACCAGGGACACAACCGCACAACTCCTTCGGCAGAAACTGCGACGGCGTGATCTGCAGTGCTTTTGAAGTGAACTCGAAACATGCAAATCCACCTTCGACGCTCACCTCAGAGCGCTTGTCCGTACGGGTGAGCTGGCGCCCTTCCAGCAGCTCTTTGGCCTCCTCGGTTGCGATCTGCTGCCATCGAACGACTGCTTTTGGCCAGTAACACTCATTTGCGCAACTGTGATATTCCAACGGGGTATATTCTATACTATGTTTGATAGAAATATACTATTTTGTTTATTGCTCAAAACGTGCTTCAAAACGGAACTGCCAAATTGGGTGACCTTGCCATTGCCCAACGTTAAACTTTGATTCATCTCGGCCGCTCATGTTTTCACGATGGTATGAACAAATTAAAAATCATGTTTTGATCTTGCGCCAATTTGCTTAATGCCAAACAAACTGAACAAACCAGCCACATCATTAAGTTTAATCTATACGCGAGCAAATCAAACAACCAGCTATGAGGCACAAAAGCTTGAAAAACAACTCCCTGTTGCACAGATGTGGATGCCTGCGCAAAGAAGCCACATCAGCTGTGTTCTTTGCAGGTGATGCGCCAACAATCAAGACTACTGCGCCTGACTACTAAAACATTTATGAATAACATCCAAATTACCAAAATGTGGAATTCTATAGTTTGTGCTGGCCGCTTCTAATTTGCACGTGAACGCCAGCAGCCAGAGGCAGCGGTAGTGCGCGAGCGGCACGAAGGATTCTCGGGGATCGGCCGTTCCGAATAAACCATGATAAAACAAGGCCGGGGAGCTTCAGGGTGTAGCGCTGCATGTTTAAGCCTACGCCCCAGAAACCGCTTCCGCGAGGGAATTCGTGCGTACGGTTTGCTAGTAAACGTGCTTGGCAAGAACCACCCAACCGAAATCGATCTACTATGTGCAAATCGAAAGGGTCCCTTCCGCGAGCTTCCGCGGGAAATAGCAACTTCCGCAAGCCCGCCCACGCTCTCTGTCCCACGCCTGACTGCACGCCGGAATACGTCGACGGCCTATTGTCTCGGCTATGGCTGTTAGGTCAAGCAAGCACTAGCAGCCGCAGTCATGGCGCCCGGAGATGACCACAGCCCCCCAAAGCAATACAGGTTTGCGTGGGTCGCTGAGCAAGATGCAGATGCTTGTTCTAGAAAATTTTCGTGACGGACATTATGTGTTTTCTTGATTTTCTCTTGTTTCGCCTCAGCGAAGCACACGTTTTTGTGAATCACTCTGGAGCATCGCACACGTTTTGATGGGGCCGCGTTGTGGTATGTGCAAAACCCAAGCGCCGCGCGCGTTTGGCTGCACCATCAGCGCGGTGACGTCCAATTTTGCCGTGCCGGTTATCGGTCTGACGAGATGTTTAAGCCATGGCCGCCAGCTATGCCACTGAGGGTTTTGGGGCAAAGCTGCAGGCCAAGTGCTTAAATTTTGACACACGCGCGCTTTACAGCAGTTTGCGTGCATGGCGTATCAGCCAGAGAATCACAGCTGAACCGACCTTTAAACTCCAATTTCTGGAAGGTATCGCGAAACTGAGCACGCCCAAGTTTGCATCGCATATTAGATACCTACATCCAAACGGCAAGTCCTTCCTTGCCTTTGCGTTTTTCTTGAAAGCCCGCAGCCTGCCAATAAGAACAACGCAACGAAGGGTCCCGGTAGGATCCTTGCGCCGAAAACTGCTGTGTTTGAGTGCCAATCCCCACGGCGCATCGCATGTTACAAGGCACCTAAAACGCATTTTAAGCATGCGTGACTAAGTACGTATATAGGCAATCGCAATGGCACATCGCATGCTCAACACCACTGAAACAATTCTTGCAAACACAAGTTCATGCTGCAGCAAGAAGGCAATCCCCATGGAGCCTGCGCACCCAAAGCCAAACACATCTTGAACACATCTTTTCGAAGCACCAAAGTGAAAGATAATCAACCACAACCAAGCATTGTTTTAACATACATGTTTGAGCACTGCTAAGAAAGCAAGCCTCATGGCAGACTCATCACTGAACTTCGACCCTTTGAAAAACTGGTATGGCCTATCAGCTAAACACTTTAAAGTCTGGCAAAAGAGAAAATGTGATATCCGGTTTGCGTTTGGGTTCGTTTACCAATGTGGTTGTCCTACCCAAAATACCTCAACGCCTACTCAATGTTGAAGCAAACTGCTCTGGAAATCCTTTGGGGCTAGCTGTGTTTAGGGCGATTGTGCCAATTCGTACAGCCTACCCAGAATGCCTCCTCAACATCACCGACACAAACAGTTCAGCAAAACTGATCAAGGGAAGGTGTTCTCCATGTGCCAATGCGTTCGCCCTTCCCACAAGACCTCAACTTGATCAAGAAAACCACGTTCGGCATGTCTGACAGTCTTCACATTTGATCAGCCTACCAAATGACCTCAATTTCACGGCAATTAGTCTCTTGAAAATTGAACCAAAGCACGGCACACCAAATTGCAACGACCCTGCCGGATGCATTTCCTGTGCGTATTAAACTAAATTCATGCGGCCGAAGCCAACCGCAACGACTCTCACGCGTGGGAGTAGTGAGCAGTTGTATGGCAGTGTAGTTATTGAGGGTTAACATTCGTAGCAATTTGCAGCTCGTAGCCTACCAGTAAGATTCCCATCTCGCAATTTGAGGACTGCAAAAGCTCTCCTTCTGAACATTTTGCGACAATAGCCCCTCATTGAAAGTACTTCGCTGGGCTCTCGTATGAACAGTCCTGAAAGCAACGGGAAACTACCGTGAACAGATTGCCGGGAAACTACCGTGAAGCACAGGCTGTCGCCGTGAAAGACCGTGTTTGGCAGTGAAAGACTGTTTGTCGTTTTGCCCCACAAGCACAACATGCAGCAACAAACGCACAAACTATAGAACTACTATTTTCATAATGGGATGTCATTCCTACATGGTTTGGCCGTGTCAGGCACAGTAGTTTTGATCGTTGGCGCATCAAGTTGCCTGTGCAGCTGCAAGGAAAACAGCATGCTTTGTGTAGACTCTGTGCAACAGGCCGGCCTTCGTAACTTCTGCGCCTCATAGCTGGTTGTTTGCTATAGGCTCACGTATGTGCCTGGATGGTTCGGCATTGAGCATGTTTGCGCAAGGTCAAAGCGTGATGTATGATTTGTTGCATGCTATCGTGCAAAAGAATCAGCGGCCGAGCCGAGCCAACGTTTCATATGGGGCAATGGCAAGGTCCACGCCTCTACCAAATTTGGCAGTTGCGCTCTGTGAAGCAATCTGTCAACAATAAACACTTTGTCATAGAAAATTTGTCTTTGCATAAAACACCGTATTAAATCCGCCGACCCCTTTGCAAAAGCCAAGTTAGTCTCTGCAAAGGGGCAAGGCGTGTTCTAAATGGTGGTTAGGGGGAGAGGGGGGGGTCCCGCGGCGGATTTTTGACACGCCTAACGTCTAACCCTAACCTCTAACTCTAACCTCTAATCCTAACCTCTAACCCTAACCTCTAACCCTAACCTCTAACCCTAACCTCTAACCCTAACCTCCAACCGCTAACCCTACCTCTAACCCTAACCTCTAACCCTAACCTCTAACCCTAACCTCTAGCCCTAACCTCTAACCCTAACCTCTGACCTCTAACCCTAACCTCTAACCTTAACCTCTAACCGCGAGGGTGATGATGATGAAAGACTACGGGAAGATGACGGAAGACTGCGGGAGACGACGGAAGACAAGGAGAAGATGACGGAAGACTACAGGAAGCTGCCGGGAAGCTGAAAGAAGACGGAAGACTACGGGAAGATGACGGAAGTTAACGGGAAGATGCCGGAAGACTACGGGAAGATGGCGGAAGACTACGAAAAGTTAACGGGAAGATGATGGAAGACTGCGGGAGGATGCCGGAAGACTACGGGAAGATGACGGGAAGATGACAGAAGACTACGGGAAGATGACGGAAGGCTACGGGCTGACGGGAAGATGACGGAAGACTACGGGAAGACAACGGAAGACTGCGAGAAGATGACAGAAGAGTACGGGAAGATGACGGAAGAGTACGGGAAGATGACAGAAGACTGCGGGAAGATGGCGGAAGACCACGGGAAGACGACGGGAGACTGCGGGAAGATGCGCCCTCCTCTAACCCTAACCTCTAACCCTGACCTCTAATCCTAACCTCTAACCCTAACCTCTAACCCTAACCTTACCTGCAGCACCTTTTGATGTTGAAAATGATCGTTTCCAGCTAAAATGATTATTTTTGCATAGTGGTGTTGAAATTCCAACACTGGTTCTCTAAAGACCGTTCGGCTGCTTATGGCGGCAGTGGCGCTTCCGAGAATTCTTTGGTTGAGAAGTGTGCAGCCTCACAGCCGCACTTTTGGTTTATATGGCACAGGCTCAGCAAGGAAAAACATCGCAAGCGGGACGATAAGCTACTACAATCAGGCGTGCTTGCCAATCAGGGCATGAAGAACACTACCCAGGCATGTTCACGATACCCAGCAGGATGAAACGTGCGCAACACAGCCATGGCTATATACATCCGTTTGCAGCCAGCAAGTGTTAGGTTTTCATGCAGTGACTGGTGCTGAGCTCATGGTTGTGACCATCATGGGAGATGGTCGTGCATGGCACGTGGAGACGCTATGGCCCGCCTGGCCTGTTAGCCTGAACGCTTGCTTTGATGCGTGCGTGATCGAAGTTGCCGCCACCTGATGTGTTTTTAACCCTATAGCCACGCGTTGCTCAAGCGGTGCGTTTGCCCTTGGATCTTGGCGGCAGCTCGCTTCAGGACATGGACTTGGCGGTTGGGGGGTTTGACCTTGCGGGGGTGGCTGAGGAATGGGACAACACCTTTGAACTAAGAGAGCGGGTGAGAGTCTACAAACACATTGTCCTGAAGAGAAGCTCTGAGAAGTCTGCGTTGGAGGTGGGCTTCGTCCAGAAGACTATTCCGAATCTCAAGGCAAACGCCATGGTCCTACTTCCTGCTTTGCAAATTATGAGCAGAAACAACAAGAAGATCCCAGGAATTGATGAAGTCCTTCAAGAAGTTCAAAAACTTTCTGAACTATGCGGGATGGAGTGGACCAATAACCAAATGTATGAGGAAGCTTGGGCAATCCGGCGGCTGCTTACATTTGTGAAGTCACTCACATACAAGAAGTCGATGCCGAAGGAGACCATTTGACAACCAGCACAGCAATTGCTATTTTCTTTGAACCGTGTTAAAATTGCAACGTCGCTATACCAAAATGGCCATGTTCCTTGGAAACAATCATTTTCAACATCAAAATGGTGCTGCAGGATCTAGACTCGTTCAGCCGTGCAAGGCCCCGAATCAACCC